GATTGTGGATAAACAGCAAACAACTGTTTTGTCGGCGGTTCAAAGAATGATGGTGCGCTTGCAGAGACATGGGTATCCGGTGTTGAGAATCCACTCAGATCGAGCGGGGGAGTTTGTCAATGCACGCTTCCGGTCCTTTTGTGAAACTCGTCTGATATACAGGACCACTGGTGATCCAGGAGTCCCGCAAACAAATGGGCGCGCTGAAGCATGTGTGGGTTTATTCAAACGTGGTGTGAGGTCGCTCTTAAAGGAGGCGCGACTCGGGCCGGCGTACTGGGCACTGGCTGCTCACCATTGGTCAATGTTACGGTGGCAGAAAGCTGAAAGGGAGTTGGGTTTGAAACCGAAAGCATTGCTTCCCTTTGGTGCTCAGATTCAAGTCAAACGTCGTCCGTGGGAGTTGCTGGGTCCGGATGGAACAAAGAAAGGTCGGCAATGGGTCGATCGTACGCAGCCCGCGCTTCTTTTGGGTCCATGCGATGACCTACCTGGTGGTTATTGGGTGGAAGCTCAAGGGACTGCCAAAGATCCGGATGAACTGGTGTTATTTCCCTGCACTACGATTTTTTCCAATATAAAGGAACCACCTGCATTGGAGCTGGAAGGGGAGGTAGAAGAACAGGAGCCTTCTCATCCGGAGCATCGTCTCAAGGGGAAAAAACCAGCGCTTCGGTTCGCTGATGAGGAAGGTCCTCCTTTACCTCCACCTCGCGATCCTCCGGCTCACCGTCGGTTAAAAGAAAAAAGCCCGGCCTCTTCACTGCGTGGTCATGTGGGCTCTTTGCGCTTGCTTCGCAAGCGGGGGAAGAGTCCGCCCTTAGAAATTTTCGAGGATGACATGCAGGGTTTGGGGGAGCTGGAAGAAAATGCAGATGTTGAGGACAATGTTCCTGGTGATGAGTATTGGCCGACATGCTGTTCTCCTCATGAAGATGCTTATTTGGTCTGCAAAAGTGAGACTGCCGAGGATGGAACACAGTTGGAAAAAGAAGAACAAAAAGCCAAGTCAATGTATGAGAGGTCTGTGTATGATTACGTGGACTGTGAGGAGCTTTTGGAAGGGATTGTATACCCAAAGAGGGTGAATCGGAGAGGTGGTATCAACAATTGGTGCACAAGTACGCGAGCTCTGGTGTTGGGCCACTATACTCATGGCGGAGTGTGTGGTATTACAAAGGAGACCCATCGAAGGCCATGGCTATGTCGTTATTTGACATCATTTGTGAAGCACCACAATCCTGAAGCCAAATTTTCTGCTCTTCAGATCTCGTGCAATGCTCCGGTATCATTGCATAGGGATAGTCACAATGAAAAGCATTGCTGCAATTATGTGTGTGGCTTTGGTGACTATAAAGAGGGTCAGCTGTGGGTTGAGGATGAAAAGGTTTTGGAGGAAGGAGCTGAAGTGGTGGAGCAATCCTATGGGAAGAAAGTCTTACCTGGAAAATTGGTGGATATCCACTGGAACTTCATGTCGTTCTTTCCGAGAAAACTGCATGGTCCTATGCCTTGGAAAGGGAACAGAGTATCCTTGACAGGGTACACACCTGTTTTTATGGAGCGATTGAGCTACAAGGATAGGTGCTATCTACTCCAATGCAAGTTTCCTCTTCCGGAACCACACGCTGAAGAAGGTGAAAGAAGGAAATGGTTAAAAATGACGCTGAGAGAAACCTCGCTGGACGACCTTGCAGAGGAAGTCGACTACGCTGTGTTTGAAGCGCATCAATGGGCTCTAGAGGAGCATTTGAGTATTCGACGCCTAATTGCTGAACAGGAATGCTGCATTTTGGACGAGTTCCATGGATCGGCCAATGAGTCGAATGATGAAAAAGGATTGGAGACCAGAGAATGGCTGGTTAAAGCAAAAAGGGCTGAGGAAAAGCTCTCGAAGTTTTTGGTCAAAGCAGCTCAAGTTCAGCAAGTGGTACAAGAGAATACTGCGCTGGAGGCAGCGGAGGAGGTCGAGTTCCTGCAAACAAAAACAATCCCTACACAAGAAGCCATGCAAGAGCTGGAAAAATGGAGGGATTCATTGTCGGACGAGGTGAAGTCTTTGGTTAAAGAGTTGGAGGTGGTGGAACCAACAACTCAAGAAAAGCTGGACAAATTGGCGGAAGAGCCTAATGCACCGGTGATTGAGTACGTTCCCAGTCTGGTGGTGTTTACCCGAAGCAAGGGACAGGGAGGAGGCGTGCCCGTATCTGTGCATGTGGGAACTTTATTTCGTCAACGGCAGCTACAGAATACGAAGGGCCAAGGTCCCTCAGTCGTCACTCGCTGTACGCTCCAGGTTTAGATTCGACTACATTTAGGTGCCAAGTGAGGCACGCAGCACATATGGTGTGGATCATCGCTGGCTTAGACATCTCCAAAGCTTTTCTGACGGCGCCGATGAATAGGGCGCAAAGAGAAGGGCGTTTGGTGGTGGTGCAGCCCCCAAGGGCGGCGGTGAAATTGGGTCTTTGCACAAAAGAGGAGCGGTGGATTGTGAGGAAGGCCTTGTACGGTTTGGCCGAAAGTCCTGCAGCATGGGTGGAGTGGCGAGACCAACGTCTTCAAGGCATGTCTTGGGTGTCAAAAGATGGACAAGCAATGAGCTTTCAGAGGTCCAACGCAGACCCAAGTCTGTTCCTTATTATGGCGCAAGAGAAGCCGGAAGGTGTAAGCAAGTTGGTGGGGACAATGGGTCTTTACGTGGATGACTTTTTGATGGCTGGGACTATGACAGTGCTCCGGGAAGCCTTGGAACAGATCAGGAAGGAGTGGAAAACTTCTGAACCCGAGTTCTGTGGTCCAGGCTGTGGTGATGGATTCCTGAAGATTTTGGGTGTCCAAATCTGGTACCGAAATGGCAGCTTCTTTCTCAACCAGGAGGACTTCGTGAGAGATTTGCTGAACCGAAGAGGGTATCAGATTGATGAAACTGGAAAAGGTAGCAACCTGCCAATGGTGAAAGAAACTCCAGGTGAAGAAGAGGAGGTGGATATTCCCTCCTTGCGAGCGGCTCAAGGGGCCGTAGGGGAGTTCCTCTGGGTGGCAATCAAAACTCGACCTGATTTGGCTTTCTGCACAAGCCAGTTGTCTTTGTGGACATCCCGAAGGCCGCGATTTGTGGTTAAAAAGGCTGAGGAGGTATTTCGATACCTTGCTGCAACTCCAACGTTAGGCCTGACGTTTGGTGCAATCGCAACATGCGAAAAAGAAAGGAATGAGGTGTTGCGTTATGGGCGAGGCGTCAAGGTGGTGGAGTCTTACGCGGATGCTAGCTTTGCAGCAGGTGAAAACGAAAAGAGCCACTCAGGAGCGGTGGTGGTTTGGGGTGATTGTCCAGTGATGTGGGCAACGCAGAGACAATCAACGGTGGCTTTGAGCACTGCTGAAGCTGAATTGCATGCGTCTATAGAGGGAGCAACGATGATTCAGTCGTGTACCCCTATAATTGCCGCTTTGGTTGGAACAGGTGAAGAATCGCTGCAAAAGGTGCTGTATACAGATTCGGTTTCGACGTGTTCAATCATTCAATATCCTGCTGGTAGCTGGAGAACAAGACACCTCAGAATTCGAGCAGCTGGTGTCAGGTCTCTGGTGGACCGTGGTTACATGGTGATAGCGCATCTTCGTGGTGAGTATATGATTGCTGATCTGTTGACAAAATTGATGAGTGGACAGGTTTATGCAAAGCAAAAGGCACTTTGGGGTCTCCAACTGTTAGTGCAAGGAACTGACTTGAAAAGGGCCTCTCTTGCAATGGCGGTCATGATGGTGGCTGCATCCCTGCAAGGGATGGCAACAGGTGGAGAAGAAGTGTCAGCTGCTGGTTTCTTTTGCTCAGAAGAAGGGGTGTGCCAGGTCGCCAATACATCTACGGTTATGGTTCTGGCTCAAGGTATTGAAATGGTTATCAACAATTCAGACCTTGTTGCGTATTTGGTGGCAGCAATCATAATCTGGGAATTGACATGGTGCCTCTTTCGGCGGCTGTACAAATGGCTGTGGATCAAGAAAGTGGTGGTTATTCCTGCGAGTGCCACTTTGTATACAACAGTGGGTGGGAACTGTATGCACGCAAGCAGTGATTGTGATGTTCTGCGATATTCACAGCCCAGGGCTAAGACGCTTTGCAAGCATTGCCTCAAGGGTGGTTGGGTGGTGAATGCTGAGTTCCTTGGTGAGGAACGGGCCGCTGGAACGTAAACTTTTTCAAGTTCGAGGTGAAGAAATCCTCAGTGGTAAGGGATTCGGCCAATGAGCTGAAGGGGCGTCCTGGAAGACGTAAAACCATAATGTGCATTTCAAGCAGCTGGCTGCTGCCTAAACGGTGGTTTTTGGCCCAGGATCTGCACCTCCAACGTGTCCTAGGAAATCCTAGGACAGGGGGAGTGCGGAGCTGCTGCTGGTATTGTAGAAAAGAGTTCGTGTTGGGAGTTGAAAGGGTTAACAAACCCGGAAAAAACATTTATGGCTCAAGACTGGGCCATGTGCCTGGTAGTAAAAGGTGAGTGCCCTGTGGTTTGGGTTTGTTGTGTGGTTGATCCAGGGAAATCAAGGGTTTCTGTTGGGGTTGACTGTTCGGTTTCTCGTCCCCCTTCGGTTTCCCCCCGTATAGGGTTTAGGGTTTAGGGTTTAGGGTTTAGGGTTTAGGGTTTAGGGTTTAGGGTTTAGGGGCTCTGCCCCCGAGAAATGTGCGGTGGAAGCCCTTACCAAAGAAGGGATTGTTAAATTTGCTTTTGGGTCTTCCTGAGTGTTTGTCAAGGTTTGAGAAGTGGGCGTGGCTTTGAGGACCAAACAGATGATGTAATGTGGTTGTGGGCAAGCAGGGTGAATTCGTGCCGAGTTCGGCGTCCATGCTCAGGATAATATTACATTACGTTTTACTAATTTTATAATCGTATTACTTTATTTTTTACTCTTTTATATAATAGTATTACTTTACTGTTTACTAATGTTATCATAGTATTCTTGTTGAGATGGGTTTGCATCCTCTCCGCCTGAAGGTCACAAACGAGATGCACTTCCCAGGAGATTGCAAGATCAGCACAACAGGCGCGCGGGAATCCGACATCTGCAGGCCTCCAATAAGTTCCGGCTGGGTTTAGGGTTTAGGGTTTAGGGTTTAATTAGGGTTTAGGGTTTAGGGTTTAGGGTGAAATTTCTGCTTGTTTGGAGGGGATGTCCTTGTCAGAAGGTTGCGTCTTTTTCACTTTGAAGGCGTGTCAAGATGGCGCCCCAAGAGTTGCCACACAACCCTCAGGCTCTAGATCCCTTACGTGCCCTTCTCTAGGTAGTACTCTACATGAGATTCCCTTGATCGAGTCAAGAGGCTTCACGGCGTCGATACCCTCGATGTACAACCAACCGCGGCAAGGAACAAAGTGGCACAAAACTGTCGATGGCGCAGCTGGGGGTCCGATGTGTTACCATCACTCCACACATGGTGCTGCCCTCATTGGTAGGCTACTATGCTAGCAATGATCAGGGCACAACGCATTTGCCAGTAGCGTTACTTCTGAACTTCGATAGAACGTTATCTACGCAGTTCAGACTGATCCCTGCCAGAGACCCCGTTTCCCCTCAGGCGATCAAATGGGTCATGCAACTCCCTTTTCCTTCATTTAGAAAACTACCCGCGTACCTTCTGTCTCGCGTTTGGAATGTTTCGGTATATGCGAGAAATCGGAGAGCTCTCTGTTCAGAAGCTGTTTCCCCTCCCCATCTGGGAACCCCTTGTGTGAGCTTTGCTCGATGTGGCTTGACATATTCAGGCGAGTCATCCCTAAACCCTAAACCCTAAACCCTAAACCGTGGCTTTTATAAGTCCTACGCAGACTTCAAAAGTCGCGGGCTCTTGCGCAAGGCGCCGCCGAGGTGCGGCTGAGTGCTCCCATCCGGTTTGAGGGTGAGGCACAGGGGAATGCGGGGTTTAGGGTTTAGGGTTTAGGGTTTAGGGTTTAGGGTTTAGGGTTTAGGGTTTAGGGTTTAGGGTTTAGGGTTTAGGGGGGGGAATTTGTTGGGTTTTCTAAAAGGCCAGAGTTGGTGGCCGGGCTGTCAGGTTGATTGTCTTGCAAGGACGATTTGGAAGCCTGGGGAGCGAAGACATGTGTCACCTGCCTGGTTCCTAGTAGGGAATGAGGGAATGAGGTACCCCATATAATCCCTGAAAGGGTATTATATAGGGTACCTCATTCCCTCATTCCCTACTAAGAACAAAAGGAGCACAGCGTAACATCGTGTAACACTTGACTTAATGGTTCTCAGTAGGGACTGAGGGACTTTGGTACCTTGTATCCCCCTGTATGTACTCGTCAAGAAATTCTAGAGGGTCTCCAGTTCCCTCATTCTCAGAACCGGAAAGAACAGTGGCATGGCCTGTTGAGACTGAGACATGCAGGGAATGGGCCCTGAGCATGCAAAAGCAATCCAGCCCGAAACACGAATAGAAAACAAGGTCCAAGCCCCTCAAAAATTGTTCTAAATCCTAAACCCTAAACCCTAAACCCTAAACCCTGAAACCGTAACATTGTTTTAGACGTGAAGCATCATTTGATCTTTAAACCGAGGTTCAACTTCTCGGCACAGTGGCCTTTAAGGCGGCCCAGATGATTGAACTACCAGGGATCCAGTGAGGAGTACATTATGCATAAGCGCAGTCTTCTTTGGGACTGGGACTGCAGGATTCTATGGACGGTAGATCTGCGGATTTCAGGTTGCGTCACGGGGTCAAAACACTCTGCTGCTTAGCTCTCACACATGTAGGTCACGGACATCGGGGGAGGGGGGGGAAGCCGGGAGGGAGGGGTGGCTGGGTATTCTGTCCGTAGGGGATTACAAGGATCATTATGGCAACCTGCTTCTTCTGCTTCGGTGGAACATGATGTTGCCTTGCCTTGCTTCACCACGTCATGAGCCAAAGCTGATGAGGCCCACACGCCCTTGCCCGGGCCTTGTGTCACGATGGGAAGCTGCGCAGTGCACCGAAGCTCGAGCACCAGCTTCTCCGGCTGTGAGTCTCGGCGCTGGGTTTGCAACCCTAAACTCTAAACCCTAATTAAACCCTAAACCCTAAACCCTAAACCCTAAACCCTAAACCCTAAACCCTAAACCCTAAACCCTAAGCCTAAACCCTAAACCCTAAACCCTAAACCCAAGAAGGGTGCGGTAGGAAGTTGGCAGCTCAGGAGAACAATGACGAAGTCGCTTCCACGCGGCAGTCTGACGATCAGGCAGGTGCTGTCCTGTGGTCTCGCAGTGGCGATTGTAGGAGGGGCTATTGAACAGTTCCTAAACAGGTTTCCGGAGGCTCTTTTGTGTGCTGAAGTCTCAAGAAGCAGCCCCCCCCCCCCCAAGCCCACCCTAAACCCTAAACCCTAAACCCTAAACCCTAAACCCTAAACCCTAAACCCTAAACCCTAAACCCTAAACCCTAAACCCTAAACCCTAAACCCCAAGCCCTGCAAGTTGGCAACAGGCGAGCGCCCTCAACATCTTGCGGGACCTTCGCCTGATGGGCGGCTCTCTGACCTTCACGGCCTGCAGGACAGTCAATCACGGAGGAGCCCTGTATGTCGGAGGCACCTCTTTGCAGCCGCAACTGCAGATCTTTCCCGAATTCAGTTGAGCAGATGTCGTCGAGTGGCGAAAGAGAGTGCCAGGCAACTTCACACAGCAGGATGGTGATCTTCGGGCGCTCAATGTCGACGCAAGATGGTCCGGAGGCTTGGCAAAGCTCGCCCTTGACCTGTGGGTGCAGAGCTCTTTGGGGCCGAGGGGGTCCTCGTCTTGAAGGCTTTGAGGTGTCCCTATAAACTTTAGGTCACAAACGAAAGAAAAAACAGAGTCCGATTTTTACAGCCGCGTGGGGCACCCTCCTCATCCCTTCTCCTGCGCAGGCGCCCTCTTTGTCGCAGGGTCGCTCAAGATGTCGGGCGGGAGCGTCGTGGTGCAGAATGCGACGGCCAGCACATGCGGAGGAGCGCTGGAGCCCGGGCTGCCCGGGAGTGGGAAAAGAATAACGTTTAGGGTTTATAGGGTTTAGGGTTTAAGGTTTAGATGTGCTGAACGTATTATGATAGTTGAATAGCCGTATTAGGGGTTGACTCCCCAGGCATGACACTGCGATTTCGCATGAACGAACCCATGGCAGCACACACTCAAGAGGACACCTTTTCTCTACAGCACAAGAAAGAACATGTAACGTTTGTCGAACTTGGCATTGCGACTCTGCTACTTCCTACTGTGACTGCATGTTGCCTCTTACTCTCATGGGCCTTGGGCCTGATAGCTACAAGGGGAAAACATGGTCGTATACGCTCTGCTGATTTGAGACGAATCGCGACGGTGGCACCCCTGAGATCTGTGGAGACATGGAAGCTCATAGCATCCGGCATCCGGCACTTAAAAGCCTCCTCGCAGGCGCCCTTAATATCATCGGGATGTTCTCCATGTCCGGCGGAAACGTCACCGTGCAGAACGCGGCGGCGGCTCTGGGAGGTGTGAGTCTATATATAATATATATGTATATACATACATACATACATACATACATACATACATACATATATACATATATATATATATACATATATATATTTATATATACATATATACATATATACGTATACAGTTATATATATATATATATATATATATATGCATATATACATATATATATATATACATATGTATATACATATGTATATATGGCCCTTATTGCACACGCTCTCCCCATAGCAAAGCAGAATTTCCTTGCTGCTTGGCTTGGCAGGCGCTCTAGGTGCTGAGCACGCCGATCTCTCCGGCGGCAGCCTGCAAGTGTATAACGCCACGGCCGAAAATGGAGGTTGGGTCGAGCTGGTGCATCACGGTGCATCGAGGTTTAGGGTTTAGGGTTAAGGGTTTAGGGTTTACGGTTTAGGGTTTTAGGGGAGCTTGCTGTGAAACTTGAGGTGACACCTTTTCCTTCGGAGCTGACTCTTGCGTCATGCGCTGCTGGACCGGCTCTGACTGGTCTTAAGATGTGAATGTCAGGTCCTCACGCTAGCCGTTAAACCGAAAGGCCTATGAAATCCACTGGCGTACCAGGCCTTATTTCAAGAGCCCCTTGGAAACAAGAGGCCAAGCCTTTGATGTCCAAAGCTCATAAACTTACGGATCCCTTATATCCCCAATAATCCCCCCTTTTTAAAAGCCCTTTGAGGAATTATATAGGTAATTACCTACTTCCCTTTTTCCTCCGAAGAGCCAGTACTCGGAGGGATGTTTAGGGTTTAGGGTTCAGGGTTTGTAGGGCTTAGGGAAATCCACAACCTCACATCCGGTAAACTACGAGTGTACAATAGACGGGCCTCTTCCACCTCCCTCCTCGCTACCAGCTACGCAGGTGCCATTCACATCGGAGAGACGCTCTCCATGTCTGGCGGAAACGTCACTGTGCAGAATGCATCGGCCAGAAGAGACGGAGGAGCTCGACAGTGGGAGGGATTGGGAAGGGAACACATCATTTCAAGGAAGATGCTGGCTTCAGGGAGTCGTCCATGGTGTTATCTACAGCTTTCAGGATCTCACGTGCCATGTTTCTCCGAGCCCTGCCCTTCTTGGGACATAGTCTGCAGCAGAAGCAAGAAGACCCTGGCTGTGCTTCTCAACCCCCTTTAAAGTTTGCTTCAACCGCCTACATCTTTGCCGCGACCGCCAAGTTGCTTCTGCCTGTTTGCTTCCGGTTTGCTTCCACTGCCGGTTTCTTTTACACCGCCTCTTTGCTTACACCGCCTTTCGCTTCGACGAGTTTCCTTCCCCCGCCGGTTGCTTCGACAGCCTCTTTGCCCTTAACCCTCGAAACCAGTCACCACCCGTTTGCTTGGCCTTGCCAGGTGCTCTCCTTGTATTTGGGGGGGGCGCCAACCTCTCCGGCGGCAGCCTGCAAGTGCGCAACGCCCAGGCCGTACAAAATGGAGGCCATGTGGAGGTTCTGGGCATTTTCCCTCTGAGCCCAAGGCGCCCCAACAGAAGCCTACTTAGCAGACATAAGCCCTAAACCCTAAACCCTAAGCTTACCCTGAGTACAGTCCTCCCCTTCGCTACGCAGCACGACGCACCCGACGCAGGTGCACTTTTTCTCAGCAAGCTCTCCATGTCTGGCACAAGCATCACTGTGCAGAATGCAGTGGCCCACAGCCGCACCGAAGGCCGGACGGTTTTGGAGGGGATTTCGGTTTAGGGTTTAGGGTTTGAGGTTTAGGGTTTAGGGTTTAGGGTTCAGGGTTCAGGGTCTCGGGTGTGGGGGTTAGGGTTTAGGGTTCAGGGAGGGTTTAGGGTTTAGGGTTGAGGTTTAGGGCTTAGGGTTTGGAAAGCGCGGCGTGTCACATGAAATTCGTTTTGCTCCGCATGTTTGAGCAAAACGAAGCTATGCACTGGGTTTCATCTGTTTTCAGGTTTGGGGTCGTCCCATCTTTCAGATAGGTCTCTTGAAGAAGGTTGTGTGGACTTAAGGCTGGTCTTTTCAGGCGAGTATCAGGTGCTCGCAGTCATCTAAGGGATTCTGAGAAATATATCGCAGACACCTTCTCCGGAAACTGAAATGCAGAGGAACCACGACCTTGCGGAAGGCAGACACGACACCAGGGCCTCTCACCGTCCCAGCATGCCTGCGGCTCGGAACAAGCCCTCAGACACCTTTGGAGGAAAGCCCATTTAGGGTTTAGGGTTTAGGGTTTTGGGTTTAGGGTTTAGGGTTTAGGGTCAGAATTCTGGCAGCTTGGCCTGGCAGCTTGGCCTGGCAGGTGGCGGCGCTCTCTACGTAAAGAAGGAGGCGAACATCTCCGGCGGCCGCCTGCGAGTGCGCGACGCGAAGGCCATGCAATATGGAGGTGGGAGCGGGTGCACGTGAGGTCTCCGCGTGACAGCTGAAGCCGATAGTTAAGCCTTCTGAGCCTTCTGAGGCATTTATTTGGCATATGGCACACATTCTTGCTTTGTCTAATGTGCTTCACTTGATCTGCCGCTCACCAGCTGGCAGACATATGCGTTATGCCCTGCTTGTACAAGTTAGGCTTTGGCAGTTTTACGGGATGTTTCAAGTCGGAGGTTTTGATACACCAAATGTCTACAAGATGGGTCTTGCCCAGCCGCTGGCCCGCGAACGCAGAACTTGAACTTGAGCGGTGCCTGCTGAATGACAAGCCGTACGCCGTTGGTCGAGCTACGTTGGCTTGCTTGTCAGTCGTAGTTCTACGTGCTGCAATAAGTTGGGCCATTGCTGCCACTCCTTGTAGGGCATGTATAAGGTCCTTGCTAAGTGAAGCTATCTTTGTAAGCGTTTGAGAAGTTCTTCGTGCGTAGGTAAATCGGCATTTTTGCTTCGTTCAATAAGCGAATTCATTTTACAAGGGGCTGCATGCAGAGTTGAGTCTGGATGGACGAGTGTTGCTCCTATAGACAAATTCCTTTGACTGTGATTCATCAAGTGCAACAAGGCTGTGGGCGCATGTTGTGGTTTCCATAGTCTGCAGTAAGTCTAGAGGTTGTGGGGATCAAATGCTCAGGAAACTGATGGCAGGCGGCACATAACAGAAAGATTGCAAGTGACAGCACGTCGACGACTGCGCGAGAGGATGCCAAAACGCGACACGGTTTCAGCCGCATGGCGAAACGGGTTCCGGAAGTTCGGCCACGGCCAGGTCCCAACACTTTCAACGGAAGCACTTCTGCAGGCGTTTGGAAAGTGCCACTTCAAAGCAAAGGAAAGCGAAGCCACAAGAGAACATACAAAGCATCTAAGCAGAGACGCGAGCCTCACAGCGGCAATCAAGGCCACTCCTCCCCTCGCTTTGCAGCTACGATCCGCCATGTTGAGGCGCCCTTGTCACCGCAAGCAATCTGTCCATGTCTGGTGGAAACATCACCGTGCAGAACGCATGGGCCCGGAAAGGTGGAGGCCCGAGCTGCGCGAAGTGATTCTGAGGAATGAGATTTCAGGAATTGGCTTTCCCTTCCTTGTTCGTACTTGTCTGTACCTAGTTCTGAAATGTTCTCGAGGCTGTGGACTTCAGGCTGGGCTTGTCAGGGTGCTCGTAGAGCCTCGAAGCTGGAACCTTGCGGAGGGGCTGAAAGTTGCTTTTCCCAGGAAACCATGGGCGGCATGATCTTCGGCTAGAGGGCCCCCTGCCTTTTTTTGAGTTTCAGAGCAGACCTCTGGTTTGTGCTCGACCTATGGCAGGTGCTGTCTACGTACGTCTTCACGCCAGCCTCTCCAACGGCAGCCTGCAAGTGCGCAACGCCACGGCCGCTGAATCTGGAGGCCGGAGCTGCCCTCGGCAAAGCCTACTTAGCAGACACTTGCCCTGCCATGTAGTATTCAGGTGCGAGTCGCGGGATGCTTGAAAAGTCGGAGGGCTGTACCGATAGAAAAGAAGGTCTGCAACTGGATGCGGAGCTGTTCTCAGCACCAGCGAAGTAATGGCAAGATCTTCTCTGCGCTGTACCAGGTTGCGTACTGTGAAGAAACGTGCTGACGTGCCAGGATTAGGTAAAACCAGATCACAAGGCCAAGTAGTACCAAACAAACGGAAAACAAGGCAAAAGCAACCTCTAAGCAGAGACGTGCGGCAGCCGCCTCGAACCTCACAGCGTCCGGCCGCGAAAAATGAAACACTCCTCCGCCTCGACAGGCGCTCTTTACATTGGACGGACGCTGTCCATGTCTGGCGGAAACATCACCGTGCAGAACGCAACGACCCGAAAGAATGGAGGCCGGACCCACAGCAAAGGGAGCTTAGTAACTTGGTAGGTAACCTTTTAACCTTATTGGGGTAATAGAATCCCCTTATAATCCCAAAGGTTAGCCTTTAGTTCCCCTAGGTACTGGACAACTAAGGGAGGGGGCGCGGACAATTCAGGTGTGGCCTCCTTCTTTTTTTCTCACATACTGTAGTTGTTCTGAAGGAGGTTGTGGATTTTCGGCTGGGATTTTCAGGGTGCTCGTAGTCATCGGCCACGAAGACTGAAATCCGAAGAGGGCAATCCCTTTATCAGTAGAATTTGCTGAAGGTCCAGCTTCTCTGCCTGGCCTTGCAGGCGCGGTCCATGTACATCTACACGCCAACCTCTCCGGCGGCAGCTTGCAAGTGCGCAACGCCACGGCCGCTGAATCTGGAGGCCAGAGTTGAATCATTTGCCTTCTGAGCATGTCGGGCCAAGACACCCCCGGCAGAAGCCCTTTTACGTTATTTTTTCGTTTCGACTTCCTAAGCTTTCAAAACCTTTGTAGGGTTTCTATAGTCGCTTCGTCTCAATCTCCCGCATGGGGTCTTAAGCCCCTCGCCTCTGCGACGCGTGCCCCGTACAAGACTCGAAGGCTGAGGTAAGCCATAAGCGTATCTGGGACGTGTGCCATTACAGATTTGCACTGCGCAAGCCACCCAAAATCTGGATGCAGACTGTGCAGGCAGCATGTGTAGAGTAGCAGACCTGATGCAAGCAGCACATGTCCTTGCAAAGCCGGTAATGTTGGCAGAGTCAAACTGACGGGAGGTGTTGCTAGCAACCAGTTTGTGGGCAGGGACAGGGAATCTCACCCAAAAGCCTCACGATTGCCAGATTACGTTAGCCCGTTCCAAGCCTGGCTGCGTTGGGCCCATGGTTGCAAAGAGCGTAAAAAAAGAGGAAAGTGGTTCTTGAATATGGAAAAGTTAGCACAAAAGGCGAGTCAGCCAGGCAAATGCCAGACCGGCCATGACTGGACCCCGCGCTTGCTTGGCCCTGGCTCTAGAGCTCTTGCAGGCCGTTGATCGAGACACCAGACACAGGTCCAGAAAGCAAGCTTCAAGGTTGAGTCGATGCCCTTTCGTTGTCGGATGTCCCAACACGACGAGCATGTCGGCGTGGATCTACGGGCGGAAGAATGCAAGGGTGCCGGGGTGCCGGCCAAGGTGCCGGGGTGCCGGCAGCAAAGCTTGAGGCTTTCAGCTTTGGGTAGTGGGACTTAGCCAGGCGAATCACAGAAAAGCAGTGGCTCTTGTGCTGAAGCAAGCTTTGTATCGGTCAAGCTTTATAGTTTAAGTCGGTTGTACTTGACGTGCGTTTGTGCTGCGCAGGAAATGTTGATCATCCTTGCCATCTCTTGCCCCATGATTGTCAGCCTCACTCCCTGTGCAATTCCAAGCCCACTATAGAGGCCATTAGGCCCAGGTGCCCATCACTGTGTAACCGTGAAGGCTGCCTTTACGTCGGCGACATCAACAAGTCGGCCGCGAGCCACCTCTTCCTGCAGAGATGCAGCGCCGACGAGGGCGGGGGCATCAGGGCATATGAAGCTTAGTAGTAGAGTAGGTAACCTTTAACCTTTTTGGGTTAATATATGCCCCTTATAATCCCAAAGGTTAACCTTTTAAACCCCTAGGTACTGGACAACTAAGGAAGGCAGTGCACACTTGTCCGGCCGCACGGCCTTCGACAACTGCACGGCGTTGAAGACAGGGAAAGCGATATCGGCAGCTGGGAACATCAAGGTGGAGGCAGCCTGGGTATCAGGCAGGGAATATGTGCCAACCATGTATGCAAGCCATGGCCATATCGAGGTGGCACAGCTGGACTGCGCGAACGCGCCAGGTTGTAGAGTAGCTGCCGCTTCACAAGAACTGGGCTCGCTCACGTGTGCTCAAGGGCAGGGGCGGTTCGCGGAAGCATCGTCCACGGGCTGCGCGACGTGCGAAGTAAAGCACACACGCTTGGCAAGTAAAGCGGAAGCTTGCACACCTTGCCCCAACATGACGAGACTCGTCAAACATAAAGCAGCCCATGTGTGACAATAGGGATTTGCACTTGATTTGGGGCCTGGATCTTTGGGAGGACCCTGGATGCCTGAGATCCAGAAGTCCAGAACAGCTTGTTGAGAATTTCCTGAATGAACATGTTCTTTCGAGAGCCCCACCTAGAAGAAGACAAGGAGTCTCAGAGCAGCCAAGGAAAATTGTCTGTGAGCCAGATGAACTGGGGTTGCCGCCCGGAACTATGGTGCCTGCCATGCAAGATTGTTCGGACGTTTTGGAGGCTCAGGGGTTGGATTCTCGAGGCCGCACCCGGCTCGATACCCCCCAACACCTGCTGCAGCAACCTGTTCAGCTTCTGCGCCCAGTAGATGACTGACAGGAAGTCGAAGTGGAGGGCAAGAGCGTCATCGGGGGGGATTCAAAGCATGAAGCCAAGTTTGAGTTTTCAGCTAGGAACACAAAGGCGAGTGTTTCAGCTTTCAGGCAACAGCAGGTTTCTGAGGAGGGAAGCGCCTTTGGAAGCGACATGCTCCAGCGCGCATGAAAAGGCCCCGAACCAGCCTAGGCCTCTAACCCGAGTTCCGTCTAGAGTACCGACTCCAGGGGGGACCTCTTAGAGGGACCGAGAGATACGTGAAGGCCTTTGAAACGTTAAAACACTAAGCAGACATGTCCTCAGTAATGGGAAAGAAGATCAGACTTTGCCTTGCGAAACAACCCGAGGTGCTGCTGGACAGCTCCCTGGACAACCTCTCAGACTGGTACTTCTGTCCGAGCAAAGAGGCCCTGCTTCGGTGGGCATTCCATGCGAAGTAGCGGCTCATCCACCTTTTTCTGCCAGCATCCATAGAGTACATTGTCAAGAATTTGGGGGGGGGGGGGGGGGGGGGGGGGGCTTTTCTCAATCCTGAGTTCACACTAGCCCGACAGTTTGAATGCCCCGGCTCGTCTCTGCCCAGCTCTGCGCAGCCTCTAGCCCCTCAATAAACCCCAAACGCTAAGCCCTAAACCCTAAACCCTAAGTCCTAAACTTAAAGCCCCAAAAAGATGGCATGATTGGAGGTGTGCCCGGGAGGCACGATCCAGGCAGCCTCAGACCCAGACTCCGAGCCAAAGTTCCTCGAGGACAGGCGTTCCGGTAAGTATCGGGGGCCCAAACTGAGGGTTTAGGTTTTAGGGAGGGTCCAGGGGTTTAGGGTTCAGGGTTCAGGGTTTAGGGTTCAGGGTTTAGGGTTCAGGGATCAGGGTTTAGGGTTCAGGGTTTAGGGTTTAGGGTTGATGGTTCAGGGTTGAGGGCTTATTGCACAGGGTTTTGGGATACCCCGTGGAATCCGAAGATGGTCCTTGCAGAGTCCTGTGACGAGAAGATGGGTAGTAGAGCCTCCTACAGCTTGCAGATTTTCTGAAACACCGCAAGCTTGCCTCTCGAGCACCCAGGCGCCTGCTTACAAAACGCCTCGCCATGTTCATGCCTTGCTGCAAGCTGCCCTGACCCCAACCCCAACTTGGGCGCAGGAGATGTGCGGAGTTGGGTATGATGGGCCTGGGCAACATGTCAGCGGCTTCAGGTTTAGGGCGGCTCGAAGATTCCTTGGCCTGTTCTGTGGTGGTTCTATTCCTTGTCAAGATGTACGTGCTCACGCGCTGCTCTTTACTAGAAGCCGAGGACCCGGAGTAGGCCTTGACTTCCTTTTTCTAGGGTTGAGGTTCCCTTATAATCCCCTTAAAACCAAACAGGGTACCCTTTTCATTCCGAGGTTACTCCTGGGTCTAGAAGCTTAAGTACTTTGGAAGTCTCGGGCCGCTTTGGCTCGCGGAAGTCCGGACTCGAAGCTTCTTTGTGCCGAGCCATCCTTCTGGCAGCGTCGGGGCATTCACAGGCAACTGGAAGTCGCAGGTTCCCTGCACTTGCTGCTCGTTTCCTGAATGTAGGTTCCGAGCTAGCAACCTCACTTCGAAAGAAACTTGCCCAAGTGCCCTTAATTCCTTAAGCCTTAGGAGCTTCTCCTATTTTCCCAGGTGCACCAATTGCAAACCGGCGTTCGCCCGGCCAGATGGCAACACGATGCGGTGCGTCGAGTGCGCGAACACCACGCAACAGGCCGTGGACATCAGTGGCTTGGGTTTAGGGTTTAGGTTTAGGGTTTAGGGTTTAGGGTTTAGGGTTTAGGGTTTAGGGTTTAGGGTTTAGGGTTCAGGGTTCAGGGTTCAGGGTTTAGGGTTCAGGGTTTAGGGTTTTGGGTTTTGGGTTTAGGGTTCCCACAAGAGAAGCCCATGGCCTCTTGGAGGCTGTAAAGCTGTTTTGGTGGTGGGGAGCTTCGTGTCCTTTTCCGTCCACGTCCAATATTTTCTTTGGTGGCACTTCAAACCAGAGACAATGTCATCGCATTCATGACGCCGAAAACATTCTGCGTCTTCTAAATCCAAAGTTCCAGCCCTTGATTCGCCGGGGGTCAGGCAGCCCTCTACGTGGCAAGGCTGATGATCACCGACCTTGCTTTGTTCGCATCCGCAACAGCTACGGCGCCTCGCAAGCAGTCTCCATGTCCAGTTTAAACGCTGCAGCCTCATTCGTAAGCAAAGGCCCGAATTTCACAAGGCTACTTGCGAAGGAACGCCTCTATGCTCATTACCGAGGTGAGTGGCGCCAAAAAGGAAACTTGGGCCTCATTTAAGATCGTCTCAAGTACCTTGCCTTACCTAAAAGCTGACTTTGCTCAAGTGACATGGCCCTCACATCGGAAGCGAACATGTAGTCAGGAACGCCCAATCAGCAGCACGTGGCTGAACATGCTGATGGCCTTCGCTGCTGTTGCAGGCATAGTCATGCCGCTGAGCCGAATGTTTCAGAAACAGATGAGAGAACGCGCGTTTGCTTTTGAAGCGGCCTAGAGCAGTGTGTTTTCCTTACTGCGAGACTGCTAGCACCTCCTTTTCGCCTTCAGACCCCCTGCCAGCCACCTGGAGCACTCGTCCCACTCAAGCACTGCTCACTTCCCCTCAAATCTGCACGACTCAGAGCGGCCTTGAGCGTAGAAACTGCTGCCCAGAATCCTCAATTGGAGAATTTCGTCCTAGAGCTTTGCTGTGAAGCTGCAGCCCAGAATCTGCCATCAAAACCATTTTGCCTGGCAAAACGCCCATTCGGATGACTAGCAGAGGTCTGCCGTGATGCAGACAGGCGGCTTCGCGCGACTGCAGGCGCGGACCATCCCGACCACGCCGGCCCCAGAACCCCACACTATGAACCCTAGTAGACTCGGGGTATATATAGTCCTGCCATAATTGAAAGGTTGACCTTTTTTGGCCCAGGATACTCAGCAACTATTTAGAGTAGCCCCCCCCCCCCCACCCGAGAAGCAAAAAATTGGCAACATCACGTTCTCA